ATCACAATCAGCGTGTTCTAAACTTTTACGTTTTTATTATTCCAGTATTTCATATGCCAAACGTTATTCCTAAGCCTCCTTAATGACGAGATAAACTTTCGATTTACACGTTTCATAACCAGTTCTTGAACTAATAGCAGGACTGTTTTTCTGGCAAAGATGTGACACTGTGCGATCGCTAGTTTCTCACTAAAGTCAGGACACACAAAAGGATAAATCAAAGTTCATAATAAATACCATAAGCACAGTTTCTTACCTTTGAGATAGAATTTAATCTATGTAAGCCTTGTGCAAAGAAAGATACAGTCCCAGAATACAATATCCTCAGACGAAATCGACGGCGATTTCCTCAGCGATTAGACTGGCGCATGCGCAATACAGTATGCCAGTTCTCTTGCAAGATGTCGTTAAAACTCGGATTTTTCTGGCAAATTTCGGTACTTGTACTAGTAAAATGTTGAAAATCACAGAAAAACACAATGAAACTTTGGCGAATCAAAAAAATACTTGGCGTGCATATGTATGGCATTGAGAATAAAATTTGCACCAACTGTGAAAAAAAATGGACAGAGCATATCAACGTTATAAGAGGTAAAAGACGGACGGACGGACGGACGGACAGAACCCAATCTATAAGCCTTCGGCAGACTTCGCCTGCGAAGGCTAAAAAGGATGGGGTAGTGGTGTGGGGTGCACATACATGTAGATGGCATTTATGCAAAAAATCATTTCACTACACAGGAAAAATGCAACACAGTGCAGACAACCGAGGAAACTAAATGTCTGTCATGTTACCTATATTGATCCAATGTTAAGGTGATGTGACTTTTAGGTCATATAAGAAGTTCATTTAAGTTTGCTCAAATACCAAATCAGTGTTCCCCAGCAACATTTAAAGCATTGTGACTAATTTGCATATGAACAAGGTGGTAATTCCTTCATTTGCATTTTGAATATACTCTTTTGTAATTTCTTTCATGGTGCTTGAAAAGGCATGAGCTGAAAACTGTACTTCTGATCTAGAAAGTACCAATCCTGTATAAACATATGTCTAAGAGATGCAGTTTACCTGACAGGTATTTTAATTAGTTAATTAGGAAACCAAGATGACCTCCCTTGTCCACAAAACTATATATTTTCGGAAAGCTTATTGTATGAATTTTAATGTTTTGTTAGTATTTTATTTTTATGGACACTGTAGTTTGAAATATGCACAAAAATGTGCTTTTTTGGTCAAAAGTGATTTAAAAAAAATTAGCTTCTAAACCATGTTTCTATTTCCTGTCAAAATTGGTTTATGGGTACATCTGTTTACTATGAAGAAAGCGCCGTCTTGAAAACTGTCTACCAGTTGTCAATTTTGTAGGGCAGCAGCTCAAATTTCACTACTTCAAGTTTATGCATAAATTAACACCCAGGCTAGTTGTCTGTACGATTGCTGTATCACTATTCAACTAAAAACAATGCCCCGACGGCGTTTTGAAGATAAACACATGGTCAATCATTTGTGAAAATTTAAAACAAAAGGTCAAAGCGTCTAGGAGCTAGTTTTTTTAAAGTTCTGAAACGTGCACTAAAAAGAAGCTGAAATAATTGCTAATTTGCATAACAATTCACTCAGTAAGAAGTTTGCTAATGCTCATAAATAAATGGCTGTTACAGTTTCAAATTTAAAAGTTAAATATAGTGCATAATATGGAGATCCCGTCATTTCTTTTTTTCACCATGTTTTTTTTTATTATTTATGTACAGCCTTGCTAAATCTTGCTAAGCATTCAAAAGAGATAAATTTGCACCTGTTATCTATATTTTAAAATCGTTTTTTGAGTATGTTCCACTATTCACAATTCTACAAAATTTCAACAGTCTATAGCCAAGACTTTTTGGATAATAAAAAGCAAAAAAAAAAATTTCACTCCCAAGTGCCCTAGAACCTGCATCTCTACCTCAAAGAGAAAACTTCCAAGCCCAGGGATTGCACCAAAGAATCATGGGACACAAAGTTAATTTATCTTTTGTTATCCATTGTAATTTTAATCCAGAAAGTAAATTTGTTGTGAGATTAGGCTTAACTGGAAGTGCCCCTTTAATATGTCTATGAATTTTACTTACTTTTTAAATAAAATAGCATTTCCTTTCTTCAAAGCATAACAGTCTCTCAGGATCTGTGTTACAATTTCACTGGTATTGCCGCCTTTAATAAAAAGAGCTTTCTTGGTATTTTCCACGAGCTTAGGTGCTCGCTGCTCCAAAGCTCTTTTGGCCCTCTGGGTCCTTGGCTTCCTGCATGAGGATACCCAAGTGAACGTTAGTCGGTGAATACTGACACATTTAACAGTAAAGTAATCAATGTATTGTGAGGAGCAAAAACAACAAAACATGGTCAGAAGTCTCACGAATGTGCTTGAGTCTTTTCCTTATTTGAAAAATGTGCATCATATTTATGTCATGTTTACATCTAATGAAGGAGCAATGTAGGCCAACTGAGATACAAACAATGGCAATGAATACAAACAACCACACTGACACAGACACGTATATGTTTTCCTGAAATTTCCAATTGTTATATCTTTATATTACATTACAAATAGAAGCATAAAAAGATGGATAATAATAAGTTTATGATAATAACACAAGAATATCACAGTACGTGTATGCAAGTGACCCGTACAGAATGAGATTGTATCGACTTCCGTATCGAGCATTGCACATGGAGTGACAGTATTGGTCATTCCAGTTTTTGTCCACCCCCCCCACGGATGGATATTAAGGTTATGACACCCTATGGATTCAAATCCACCATTCAGGTGTCGGATTTTTGTTAACTAACCCCCCCCCCCCCGGATGGACACTGATGTGACGTATACGGATGGGTATACGTTTAATTATTATGTTGG